ACTAGGGAGCAGTTGGAAAATCCATCACATGCTGAAGAAGCAATAGCTGACTTCAAGAAGTACAAGGAGGTAGGCTTGTCTCAGAAATTGAGGACAGAAAAACTATTACAACATAGTGGGCAGAAAAGGAAGTAGAGAGTACTGAATCTGTAAGAGGGAACAATACTGGCTGAGTACGATAATGGGAAATCATTTCTAGTCTCAAGAGTTACAGGAAACGTGTTTATCATATATATGGGGAAGTCCTAAGTCTACAAACATGTAGCTTGAAAGGTTTGGCCCTGTATAAATAGTAGATACTTACCACAATACTAGAAAGAATACAGAAGCGGGAACTTATTTTTTGAGGTGAAGGCAGTTGTAGGGATATTCTATGTAACTAGAGGGAACCTAGGATTCCATAGAGAATAGGTATTAGGGCTGGTATGGTCCTGAGCACACTACACCCATAACTTAGAAGAGAAGATGAGGAAGCAGAGGGAACTCAATCAATCACCATCATTCTTGGATTCCAACTTCCCCCTTTGTTCCTATCAGACTGTGGTTACAAAAAACTCTCTTGGCCACCCAACTTACCAGATCTCAATCCTATTGAGAACACCTGAGCACTACTCAAAAGAGCCCTCACCAAGTGATTCTCCAAACTAGAGAGAAGGCCTCACAGTGCTGCTGAATTGTTTGAGGCAGCAAAGGAGGAGTGGGGATTAATTACTCAAGAGAAGTTGGATGGATGGATGGATAGAATGCCTGAGAGAATGTTGGCTGTACTGGATGCAGATGGAGGCCATACAAAATGGTAGTAATGTTTTTCTATCATCTACTAGCTATACTATTATCTTTTCTTTAATTGAATTCTCTACTTTTTTTTTTTTGAATTTTTTGTGGTTGGATGTTGTGGTAGTGCCGTTGCCGGGCGGGGGTGCGAAGACTTTCCGGACATGACTTTACTCGCGTGCTGTGCTCCACTGGCACTCTTGAGATCGTCTCCGGTGTTGTATGATATCATCAATTATTCCCCACCATTATGCTCACCCAAGCTAGACTAATACCGGTAGGTGAGATACAAGTGATAACATTTATCTAAACTCCCACGATATTCCCTGCTTCCCCCAATCCCCCGAAAACGTGGTAGCCGTCGTAGCTCCCCCCCTCCAAGCATAGTATCACGCCTGTCGCAACCACTTACCTGGGACCTCAAAAATTTGCTCAAGGCTTCAAACAGGCATAAGTTAAAGGATTCGGATCGGAGCCAGTAATATAGGTTACGGGAGGGAACCTAGAAGGTGCGCTGAGCTGAGCAGAGGGTTAGGAAGGTATAATGCCGTACCATACAGGTATTGTACTTTGGGTCATTGCTAACCGGATTTGCAGCGGGGATGGCTGTACGATTGCGGCGGTTGAATCATGGAATGTAGCATCGGGTAACATGCTGATGGAATCCAGGAGAAATCGGGAGTATCATACCAGCATGGTATGATACTGTGGTTGTGAGGGTTTATTTTAGAGATTAGGGCTTCAAAAGTCTCATGATGCATACTATGATACCACCCTATGGCATTACTATTGCATTAGAACAAGACCGTGATATGATGTTTGTATCAAACGGAGCCTTCCTGCTTCCTCAAAACCAGGATTATGCCGACGTGTAGATTACGGCATGGCGGACAGTATATACCGGAGTGGGAGGTTTATGGGCCTTCCCTTGGATGGTGTTTCAACCAAGCACCTTGTGGCTATAATTGCTCTGTGACCTGACTGATAAACCGATGGATAAAGGATGGGAAATTGACTTGGAATCCAATTGTAGTAAATAGACCAACACAGAGGAAGCAAAAGGGGTTGAAGCTGAACCTGATTTAGTTAGGCACACACCATTATCTAAATGGTTGTTGTTGAGTGGTGGTTGAGCTTGTCTAACTAAGAAGCCCGGCTCTTGGTTTAGGTACAGGGGGGTGTGCATGCTAAGGCATGCACAAGGGCAGGAAACTCCATGGGATAAAAACCTCAAAGCTCTCAGACAATACTCTAACAACTCAGTTTCCACTCCACACCGGTACTGTAGGATGCGTCAAGAAACTTTGGAGTGGATTGGATGGGTGGATGAGTTACCTTTGGGATTTACTCGTAGGATACCCCAACAGGATACGAGTACCTTTGTTTTAGTTAGCTATTGCGCTAGTCCGATACCGGTACCACTAGCTACTGAGCGGTAAAAGTACTCGTATCCAGCTTGCTTGAGTAAAGATTCCCTAATAGATATCGGTAGAAGGAGCATCATATTTCTAGTTTTATGTCCTTCTAATTCATATTTTCCCTCCAATGACCCCAAAGAATTGAGCTTATTAAAGAATACCCTCCTCCCCCGTTTTTCACCTCTTCCTTTCCCATGCATGCAAATGCAGCTTAGATACAGTATTTTCTCAGCACCCATTGCGGGGTTTGAGGCTCTGCTGAGGTACATACCTTTTGTTGCAGTTGCCAGTCGGGGCCGATACATGAATACCGGCATCATACTTGAGATTTCCGTCAATATCGTGGGGACTCTTGGGATCCACTATCTCCGTAGGCCTTGTAATCTCCGGGTTAAGAGACAATGGTTCCCAAGAAGGATTAGCACTTTCACAATGCGGTAGAATATCAGCCCACCGGAGGGGTTGGATCTCATGAACCGGTATTGGCGATTCTGCTGACCTGTTAAATTAAACCTTTGGCTTATAATCTGATGATGGATTTCAAGAGATTTCGCAGTGTATGGGGGGCTAGATATTGTGAATGGGATATTGGTAAAAGAGATGCTTTTATAGGTGGATTGGGGGGGTGCACAAGATTTCGGAAATACGACGGAGCCGGCTTACCACGGGTTGATCCCGGAGCACCCAAGTGTAGAAATGTCGAGAGTTGTCGTGCTGCATGCTATCGTGCTCCAGTTTGACCGCAGAAATAGTGCTGTGGGTATCTGCAATACTACAGTATTGCTGATGGTGGCATGTATAGGATAAATTGATCAGCGAGCAGACAGTCTTAAAGCAAGAAATCAATGCCTACTCCAATTTATGATGCTGTAGGAGAAAGTAATTACTATGAATCGGGCGTGAGCAATTGAGGCTACAGTGGTTGTCATTGGCAGTTGGCAACGGAAAGCTGGCAGGCTGCGACTTCGATGGGGCCTAAAATTCGAAACCCTGTACGATACAGTTCCGCACAGTTTAGCTTGCTCCTCTCTTTGACAATCCCTCGCCATCTGCCCGCAATCTCTTATCGCACCCGTGGCGGCGGAGCGATAGGATTTAATCCCTGCAAAAGTATTCGACCTCCCTTCTGCGTCTTTACTGGCGGTTGTTGCTTTGCTGCGTGCTTTCGTCGCCGTCAGCCTTGGTGCTTGCTAGCAGCGGTGCCTCTCCTCTGGGTCCACCCTAAGGAACTATTCCTATCATATTATCATACACCATACCTGTACTGTACAGCATAGGTAGACCTGCCCTAGAGTTCCTGTGGGAATTTACCCTTTACGATGCTGTTTCGAGCCGCTTCGTACTCGTATATACCTTATCTTAATCTAAACATCAGTCTTCCACCACCACCATTCGACTAGGGCTGCAACTGCGAGGGCGACCACCACCATCACCTCTACCCCCACACCTCTCTCCTTCATCCACGCACAAAGAAAGAGCTGCAACCACCTCTAGTTAGCCCGTTACCTACCGTACCCTATCCATTTACATCACCGTCAACTCCCTCCCCCCCCCTCTTCTTCAATTAACAATATCCCCCTAATCCCTCTACCACAATTTGTTCCTGATCCTTTACCTCTGCTTGCTGGAATTGTACTGTACCTGCTGCGGCTGCGCCTTTCCCGTCTGCAACCATCGCAGACGCGAGATCCCACACAAACACACGCACGTTCGTCTTTCTCTATTTTGTCTATCCTGCTTGTCGAACAACAACCCCCCCACACCCCCCTCCCCCTTCCATATCCGAGCTTGCTTCCTACTTCCCCGCCGTCATTCCATCTTCCTTCCTCACCTACAACCAAACAACTTTTATTTGTCCGCTACATCCGCTCGACGAAACGTTAATAAATTACTCTTGATCACAATAATACTATCGGAACGTTCGTTTTACCCATCCATCTTTTATTGTGTGTCCGCCCTCCCAACGGGGCATCCAGTCGCTTTTGTATGGAGAAGAATGGAGAGTTGGACTCGAGTTTCATGGCGGTCGATCCAGTCAGCCCAGCAAGCAATAACTCAAAAGACCTTTTAGACGAACCGGCTGCTCCCCGCCGTAATTCAACCGACGACAACGACCCAACAAGGCCCCGTAAACGACTAGCTGCCATGGCAATCCACGACGATATGAAGGACGTAGAGGTCGCTGTTGAATCACCTAGAGAAGCTTCTAGTCCCCTTCAGGACAGGGCTTCCCAGCTTGCGCTTGGAGATCGTCATAGCGGGGAAGAAGAGGATCGCAGCAATCTGGGAGATGAGGAGGGAGCGGTTGCTCCGGCAGCTGGCGGTGTCGGAAAGTCGATAACTATTCATCTTCGATCCTCCGTTTTGCATCAGTCGGAAGAGAATCAATCTCAGGATGGATATGCCAGTGACCGAGTCAACGGCTCCACTCAATCTACCATTCAAAAATCGGAGCAGCTACAACCTCTGGACTCGCCCCAAGCTACTTCGCCAAATGGATCTATACGCACTCCGGATGTTGAGGTGGAGGAGGTTGAAGAAATGGATGAGGGTGAAGACCATCTATCCAGCCATATTACTATCGTGAATAACTACCTGAATAATCCCGTTAATACCGGAGGACCTGATCGGGTAAAAGATCTCATGGATTCCATGGTTTCGAAGCTCGAGAGAGGTAAGCGTTGCCTAAATTATGACCCAGCCAAACTTTGGGCATAAATTGTAGGAGCTGACGCTGCGTTAGATCCGTGCCCTGTGCGGGAGTTGGACGAAATATTATCCTCGGTGTCGAACTTTGTCAACGTCGTGAATGATCAGATGGACATTTTCTGGAAAGCTTATACAACCAATCACGATATTTGGCTGCATCTGCCGAATTTGATGGAAACATTCTTGAGGAGAGGGTACGTTGTGCGGAACCTGCTCTTGCTTACGGGGATATGTACTAATGGGTGATAATAAAGTGAGCTCTTTAGCAGTGCATTTTTTAGGAGATCAAGCAATGGCCTGAGCGGTGTGGATATGATTGGACGTCTTTTGGTGGAGTTCACCCGACTCACCACACTATTCATACATTATGATGTCCTAGTAATGAAGGAGTCTCCCCTTGATGCCGAAGTTACGTTAATATCCTGCCAATATCTTAGGATATTGGTTGCCATCACTAGGCCGAATCATCTCTTTAATCTTCTCGAGCGAACATATAATGTCTCTCTAAGTCGACAGCTTCCCGAAGTTATCAGAGCATTGGTGGAGAAAACCGACGCACTGAAAATGATCCAAGAATTCCAAGAATCGATGTATGGCAGGATGTCATCACAGCCTAAGCTAGCCACTCACATATGCCACCCAATAGATGTCTTCTCTAGGGTTGTCCGCTGTATGGAGCACGTGATGACAGGGGGCTTCTTGGATGCAGATCTGAGTGATCTTGAGGAGCCTATCTGCAGGTCTGCCTTTTTGATGTTACCCACGGCCGAAAAGGCAATTATGGCAGTATTGGAATCACAATTGCAGGTTTTGCACTTCAAGGAATTTACGGTTACTATAGAGGGTCTCTGCCAACTCGAAGGTTCGATCTGCAAAATGGTCGGGCTGGATCCACAAACCGAGGTTTTTATCATGGAGAAGACAAAGTACCGTTATCCGGACTTAGATCCCAGCGAATTCCAACAGCTTGCCGAGTGGACTTGCAGGTTTCCGATTCTTCTCAAAATGATGATGTGTAGTCGGATGGACTTCCGGCTCCATGGGTTGGTTCGGACAACAGACCTTTTAGTGAGGGCCTGGAGGGAAAATTCCGGGCCAGATTGGAGGGATAGTAACTTATTGAGGTGCATCTCCTGGCATTGTATCGTGCCAAACAAATTCTTTTGGGTGGTCGTTAATTTTTTTGGGCAGATTCCTGGCCGACTTTATACTTGAACAAAAGGTCATCGAGTATATTGTGGGACCCGAATCTCACCCTGAGCTTATCCGACGGAGTGCGAATTTGACCGGGTTTCTTTTGGTTACGCAAACGATCACCCCCGAAATACAGCAGGCATTGTGGCAGCCCATTCTGGAAAACAAGGATCCCCGAATCTTCCAGGCCACTCTTGCGATGCACCAGGAAATGATTGGCAATATGACTTTGGAGGGATTGGTTGGCCTAAGCAGGAGATTTAATGAATTGCCCTTCAGCACTATTGACTCGCACGTAATAGATTTCATTTGCCGATTTATGGAACAGATTAGGACAAGCGTTTATACTCAAGGCCAACATACTGTGGTATTTATCTGCCCAGAATTCTGAGAATTTATTGTGTTTGTATGGGGTGTTGACTTGAAAGTAGGAAGATATTTGCTTGGATGCCGGCCCCTTCGAATTACTAATCAGTCTTATCCGGATGGCATCTCGGGAAGAAGACAAGCCCACAATTGATACTGGATTATCAGCATCTGCAATTTTTGACTTCGGTGCCCGAGAGCTAAGGGGACTAACTGGATATGGCCCCAACGGCGCGGCTCGCAGGGAAATATTTCTGGAGTGCATCAATGATATCAAGGCCATGAATCCTAGCGCGACCGGGAGTGTTTCTGTTATTCTTGCATTTTTACGTGAGTTTCATATCTTATCCCGAGTGGATCCAGCTCACCGTTCTTAGAAAGCAGGCCGCATATGCTACGAGCTGGAAGTCCTACCTTTGGGGATGATATCGAGTATCTCGTTAGCGAACTCAAGCTGGCTGAACTCCTGATTGAAGAGATTTGTGGGTTTGTTGAATCGCATAGGGAAAAGGAACAAACATCTAGGATACGCAGGTTGAATTTACGCCTGGAGCTACTGCAATATATAATGTCCATCGCCCCAGAATGCCTACCGCCTGGTTTGGATGAAAAGCTGTGGACCTATCTGGTGGGCGCCCGTGCCCTCGGACAGGCCGAACGCGATGTAGGATTTGAGTTTTACATAACTCACTTTTCTAGCTGCAGAGGGGTATGTTTTCCCTTATTCAGAAGAATCCTCACTGACAAACGAATAGCGCTTCGATCCGATTCTAGAACACGCATTCCGGTGCCATTTCCCAATCCTAGACCCAGCGTATTTCTCTTCACACGTTTTGAACTTCTGTAAAATGTCAATCGACTACCTCAACCGATCTACAGAGGTAAGAATTTCTTCTTTTTCTGGTTCTGAACGAGCGCTAGTCCCTTACTGATAAAGGCTCAGAGACAGTCCGAAATGATGGATGAGGACAGTCTCAATGTGGATGGGATCGAGCAGCTGTGGCGAATAATACTGGATGCAAATAATGAAATTCTTGCCTCAGACGCTTCAACATTCCTCGTGAACTTCTACCTGGATGTCAGTACTGGATCCTTTGTTCTGCAAGCCAATATTTAACTAACAGGATCATAATAGTCACGTGCTGTGTTGTCGAAACCTCCCAGCGTAGTTGAAGCCACCCACTTCAAAATGGTGGAGCGTTGTATAACACAACTGAATTCGGCCGCGTTGGATATCACTGGTTCTGGGGTGACCGAAGGCCCTCCTATTGCACTCGACAGTGCCAAGGGCAATACCTTCCGAGAGAGCGAGAGGGTATTTCTTAGGTCTCTGGATCTCTTGGACCAGTTTATCAAGGGATATAAGAATCGTTCAGAGTACAATAAAGGAGTTCAAGAACCAAATCAAGGGCCTGGCCTAGAGATGATAACTGGGTTACCGTTAACTATCAGGCTTCGATGGCATGGTCTCAATTATCAGTCACCGGTATCCCATTCCACGTTTTATCAATAAATGTTCCAATGAAGCTTACTAACATAACATTAGGTCCACACCTTTAAAATCGGAAATCTCGACACCGCCCAGGATCTCCATGAACGGATCACCAAGCTTGTGGGGGGGGATAAGCATCGCACAATATGTGCCGGGAGGGAGCTCAAACTCTCTGAGGAACCATTGAGGACGCTTAAAGACTTCAACCTTTCCGACGACGCATTTCTGATTGTCCAGAAAGCGCCCGATCAGGGGTCAAATACAGTGGTCGTGAGACCTTCATCTAACCTGAATGCCTTAGAAACTGAGATAATGAGGCACTTCGATGCCCTCTACCAGCTGCTTGGCCTGCCGGAGCCCCAGGCAGCGCGGGTGTGTTACCCAAACCCAGAGGGTAATTAGGATTCTTGGTCTGACGTGTTTTATAGATTTGGGTTTTCCTAAGAAACCTTCCCGTTCATGATAAACTAAAAGAGTCCATGAAATCAGGTGAATCATGGTCACAGACATTGCCGGCTGAAAAACCTTACAAGATACTATATTTTCTCTATACACTTCGGGCTTGCTTCGGGGAGCAGAGACCGCAACTAGTAGGTATCCATGGGTCACTCAAAATTCGATTAAATTAACACCTTTTAGGGGTCCGAAGCCTCAGAGTTCTTTGCTAAAGCTATCTTATGCTTGTTGGATACTATTATGTCCGATGGGCTTGAGACAAACACAGGGTATTCATTAAGCACGAAGGCTCAAGTCACAAACGAGCTTCTCGATTGTTTGAGAATGTTCCTAGAAGGTAAGTCCACTGACAGAACCGTAAAGTATGTACTTAACAAGCGGTAGAATCTATAGCCGAAGAAAATCCCGCAAGCTACCTGACAGACAGTGCTGCTTTTGTGAGATGCATCTTGAACATTTTGCAGACGATTTCGAAACCGGAATACTCTCGATGTGCCGCTTCCGAAGATTGTGTTGTCAATGCCTTCAGAGCTCTTCTCAGGGCATCAAGAATGGACCCTGAGACATGGATTACCCTCAGCCAGAATCAGAATCAGATGTTCAACGCAATCGATAAATTTCTCGTCCGAGATGACCGTCCGAAGGTTAGGCAGGGGGTTTCTAGATCAATTGTTGGCACCTTGAAAAGACCTATGCGGTATGTTTCATATAGGACTTCCCAGATGTTTCAAATACTGATATATTCAGTAACGACATTATTCCATGTGAGGGGTTTGCGAAGTATTTCTGGCAGATTTTGGATACGTTATTAGTCCAGGACTCAATAAGCCCTGATTCTTCCGCAGAATTCTACCATGCTGCCCTTGTAATATTTCAGTATGCGTGCTCGGATCCCTCCCCCAGTTATCCTTCTAACTTGTAGTGTAGGTTCCTGGGAAATACCGATGCCGCGTCATTAGAGTTAGACCACTACCTCAGGACTTGGAGCTCCCGCCTGATAGAGTATCCTATCACCGAGGTAAAAATTCAGACGAGTACTCTCGCTATCGGGGCTTATACTCATGATTTATCACAGATAGTCGGCCGTCCTAAGGAAGATTATATATTAACCGGTTTATCAAAGCTGCTTTCCCAGTGTACAGCGCTTGCGCGGGATCAAGCGATATCAGTCGGAATGAAGTATTTGACGCTTGGCCCGTATTTGTGCTCATGGCTAATACGGCTATCAGGGTGTCTGAGAGAATCTTCGAGCGTTTGCTTTTTCCTGCATATCTATTTGGAGATCGGTACCAAGATATCGAAGCTGCCGAGCGGCTACCATGCCTTCACGGGCCCACCCGCACAGAAATATACAGTCTTCTTCTTGAATTGGTGAACGACCTGGAATCTTCCACGCGAATGGTTGCGCTCAATCGACAGCTATTCCCAAAAGGTAAGTGAGCGGTCACAATTAATGGCAAAATCTTATATGTTATAGAGGATCCACTGCACGACAGCCATATCGCCGATCGCACCAGATGGGCAAGGTCCTCTGCCGGCCATGTCGGTCTTCAAAATATGTCCAACACTTGCTATCTTAATTCTCTCATTGCTCAACTCTTCATGAATCGCTCTTTTCGTGCCTTTATTTTGGACATGGACGCGAACCCCTCTGACGAAGCCCAGAGATTGTTATTCTCTATGAAAGTTCTTTTCGCTCGGATGCAAAATAGTTACGCGAAAGCAGTTGAGCCGAAGGACTTTGTTGAATCTATTACAGATTACGAAGGAGAGCAAATTGATATCACAATCCAGATGGATGTAGATGAATTCTACAATCTGGTTTTTGATCGCCTTGAAGGTCAGATGTCTTCAATGCAGATGAAATCGTCTTTTCGTGGGTATTATGGCGGCCAGCTAGTACAACAGGTAAAGTCGTCGGAATGCGAACATATTTCGGAGCGCAATGAACCATTTTCGGCAATCCAATGCGATATCAAAGGGAAGACCAATCTACAAGAAAGTCTAAAGGCATATGTTGGCGGAGAACACATGGATGGAGGTAAGAAACTCCTATTACTCTCTGTAGACTAAGGGTGCTTCTAATGGCCTTATACAGATAATAAGTACTCCTGCACTGAGTGTGGCCGCCATGTGAATGCTGTGAAGAGGTATGTTTGTCAAAGCACCCTCTTTGCCTATCGTGCTGACATTTCTCAGGACATCCCTCAAAGATCTTCCGAACGGAATTATCTTTCATCTAAAGCGATTTGAGTTTGACCTACAGACAATGCACAGAAGCAAGATCAATGACAAGTTTGAGTTTCCGAACTGTATTGATATGACACCGTATACCACGGATTTCCTGAGTGCCGAAGAAAAGGGGAAAGTCGCTCCCCTACCTGATATATTCGAATTAGTTGGGGTGTTGGTGCATAGCGGGACCGCCGAATCTGGTCATTACTATTCATACGTTAGGGATCGCCTTTCGGATTCAGCTAACCCCCAGTGGCTTGAGTTTAATGACTCCGAGGTTTCCTTCTTTGATCCATCTACCATACCGTCGGCATGTTATGGGGGCTGTGATAGCATGGCAAGGGACTCAATGGGCCAAACATTTACAGTTAACAAACCGTACAGCGCCTACATGCTTTTCTATGAACGCTCATCCTTTTTGAGATCACCGAGCGGAAACTTGGGGACTGTCGGTTTCGGAAGGAAATTGCCCCTTCCCCATGACCTCGAATGCGAAATTCAGGCCGAAAACGAACGTTTTATACGAAAATACTGCATGTTCGATAGCAGCTATATCGATTTCGTCAAAAAGCTGGCTGATCAGCACCATCGACTAAGCAAGACTTCTACCCGCTCGGAACATCTTGCTGAGAGGAAGGCACTTTTGCTTGCATTGGAGACGTTCGAGCAGATAGCAACTAGGTTCAAGGATCCAGGAGAGGCCGAGGCCTTGCACAGCACAATCCACACGTATCTGCTGAGCTGCCCGGATTGCTGCCTAGATTTCCTGAACTGGATATCAGACAAGGAGGAAGCTGTCAGGAACCTGCTCGTCTGTAACCCTTACCCTAAACCGAGGCAAGCAGTGGCAAGGCTGGTATTGGTAGCACTAACCCAATTACGACGGAAACGACCGGGAACTTACGGAGCCGACGAAATAAAACTTGAGCATGATTATGACGAACGAGGGTCCGACAGTACCTTGTACAAGGTCTGTAGTGCCCTTATTGAGTCTTGGGACGGTCTCCAGTACACTGCCAAGACCTGGAACGACTATTTCGGTCTCTTAGCAAACATCGCATGTTTAGGACAATTTGAGAAGTCGACTATGCTAGAACTAGGGTGTCTCAAGAAAACCCTGCAGCTATTGGTGATAGATCATTTACCAGCTCCGAAGAAAAAGGAATTCATGTTCGACAACTTCACAAAGATCTGGAGTAAGCGGCGGCCGCCGATTGGCAATGCCGGGAGCCTTCTCTGCGAGCTGATGAGTTTATGTGACCCCAACTTGCTGCCATGCCTAGACGACGATAGGCGCATTATCGACGAGCGCTGTGGAAGGTTTCCTCTAACTAGGACAGAGTACGATTTGTTCACGTTCAGTGACGATAGGAACGCCATGACCGCGGTTACAAGGCTGCTGGAGTCTCACAGTGTTAATGATGCGATGGCCAATCTCGTTTCCAATATTGTCGCATCGGAAGTAGCTCCCATGGAGGGAGGTATCCTTGATCTTCTTAAGTACACGTTGATCAATGGGGTTCCAGTTGATCCCGCTCAGGAAGCGCTCCCCTTTCTCACATGTCTTACCCAGTTTGTTGCATGCACCAGGTCCCCAAATTACGTACGGGAAATCGTTCGACGGGTCGCTGAGGAAATTCCTACTATCGGTACCGATGGAGGCGCGGAACACCTAGCTTTCTTCCAAGACCTCCTCAAGGTTCGCAACCCAGTTATCAAGACCAGCAGTACCAGACTCCGAATCCTCGAGCAGATAGGGTCTTGGGCGCCTCCGTTATTAGTTTACTGCGAGGTTGGAGTTCGGGAGGAAACGGAGCTGTTCCTCAACGAGATACTTTTTGATACACTTGCGAACGGTGATCGTCCAAAATCACGTACAGCGGTTGAAATGTTGATGGATAACTGCTTCACCTACCTCGAGACAAGGTACACAAAACAACGCCACCAATGCGATGAAAAGACTTTTGAAAGCATCCTGAGAGTGCTGGAAAAATGTGGCGAGTATCAGAGCGACGAGGAAGTTTTCAAAGCTCGATATGATAGTTAGTCCCCTTTCCGTATTATATTCGGTACCACAGCTAACCATTTTTCACCATCTCTTTCTTAGGTTTGCGGGTTTTGATAGAAAAGATGATCCTCGAGGAGGAAGAGGACGCTGATCTAGCCTCCGGTAAGACCAATTGGTTCTCTCGTGAGCCACGCGACTGACCGCATGTAAGATGAATGGGGAGGATCCGAGATCGGCAGTGACACGCACGAGATGGAAGTGCAACTTGACGAATATAACAGTGCTTAGATGTTAAGATGCGCGTATCGACGTGAGGCGAAGGGTGTTGTTGGGAGTATGGGAGGGGGGAGCATTACAGTTGTCTGCCTTGCCTAGATTTTTTTCATTTTTCCTCTTTTCATTTTCACTTTTTGCTCTCTTACGCTTTCTCTTTTTCGACAAAAAAATCGCAACTTGGGGCGTTTGTATTCTTAGGGTATGGATTCTTCTTTTACTATGATACTTGAAATAAAGTTAGGTAGTCATTGATTGGGTTTTGTTGTCTCGCTTTGTGATTCAAACTTTTCTCTCCTCATTCACCATGTTTCCTCTATTTTCAATCCTTATTTAACTTGGATGTTTTTGTTATTATCATCAGATCGTGGTATTTGCTCCACGACCGACCCTACTACCCTGGTAGTGTCGAGGCTAGAAAATGGAATACTGGAGCAATGGACGCGGACATAGGCTATTATTCCACTTTCTTTGTGTCATAGCACTTGTGATTTCGGAATCGCCAATGGCGCACCCAGGTGGGTATCATATGATAATATACGATATCTCAGGTGAGATGCGATGATTTTCCCTGGTTCGGATGTGACCTCCGGAGGTATAAGTTGAAGGTGAGGTGACAGTCATGATAGCCTCCGCATATGCTGTAGGTACGCTGTAAGTAAATCTTAACTAACACCAACACCCAGAACTAAAAGCCTTCGTGATAACCCTCCGGATGGGATAACTCCTCGCAGAGTAGTGCCCGTTCAGCAGATTGCAAAACACGAGTGAGGGTCCATGACGAAATGCCTACCCTCGCAAAGTTGTGAGGCACAAATTCTGTTGGTATCCTGCTAGATTCCTTCCCCTCTTTTCCTCCCCTCCTTGACAGCTACTTGCTGTCTCCTGTCCCACCCCCTCAAAACATGGATGATGAATGGCACGCATGGTGTGCTATACCGTGTTTATTGTCCGCGCTTTTGTCGGGATTTGCGACCTTATCTGGCTCTGCTTGCTGGAAGTTTGAGAGAAGTCCTACAGGTGATATTTTTTCTGTGGGTTGCATCTCGAGCGTGAGGTTGGATACTTACTTGCTGGGGTGGATGGGAGGTTGGATTTGTCACTCGGGTGAGGGGCGTATATTCTGGGTGCTGAAAAGTTCGAGGTTTCTGGTCGATTTAGTCTCTTGTACTTGAGTGTGGGGTTAGGAGGGGAAGGGTAGTTGGGGGGGGGCGCATTTTGTAGTCTAGTATAGCTCGCTAATGTGGTGGCGATGATTCCATCGCAGTTACGTAGTTTAGAAGAGTGCGCCTGCCTCGCGGGTATAATACGGAAGTATTGGCACTCTACTGTATTGGAATTTTCCGGCACTGACTGCACGCAATGAGGGAAGAGATAAGATTATCCTGTTTCCATAAAGTCGGGGGGAGCTTGTGTTTGCGAAATGCGGTGCGAGCATAGTACTCGAGTATATTGTTTTATGGTAAGTGTGCTTGTATGATACTCGAGCACTGTACCACGCACTACGAGTGCACCCCCGATAGTCAATTGCTCAGGAGGACCTACCAATCACAGAATCTCACTCTAGACCCGCTCCAATCCCTCCCCCTCGTCTCCAAGACAACTCTTGGCATGTCACGGGCACAGATCCAGCCCGCGGCCCTCGCCACGCTAACTGAGATAATTTATGTTCCCCGCGTCTCTAACCGCTCCATTCCGCGCGACTAGCAATCAGCAGACAAAGGTCTCGTACTACAGCGTACTCATCCGACCTGGTTAGCCCCCCTCTAGCAGTCACGGTTAGGGTCTAGTCACGGTATCATTACCATATCACAAAGAGAAGAGCGCAATGATGATAATCAATAGATTCAGAATGAATTTTCCTTCCTTCCTTCCTTCTTTCCCTTACTAGATCGGCAATGCCGTTTCTTTTTTGGTTTTCGGGTAGCAAGTCAGAGCGGTAGGCATAGAGTCGCGTGACCTTGCCTGAACCAATTCAGCCTCCCGCCCACGAGCTCCCGGTGCCTGTGCCTATGCCTGTCTCTTATGCAACCTCCCAATATATTTTTGGAAATGTCTGTGCCTGGAAATGGAGATATGGGAAAGAGCAAAGGTTGAGGGAAAGGGGAAAAGCGTAGGAAGAAAGGGGAAAAACATAAATGGTAGTAGACATAATCGGGAAACAGCAATTCCATTTATTACCCCTCAAGGAGGATTTGGAAAGAAAAAGAAGAAACATATACCGAGTGCACTGTACTTTTTGATACAACCTTTGAATTTTCCCCGCTGCTGGGAACCCAACCAACCAGAGGGCCAGACAAACCGGTGAAGTATTAGCGGTAAGAGAGCTGTTGCGTCGCCAGATAACCAGGGCGAAAGAAAAGAAAAGTAAGACAACAGGAAAAAGCTAAAGGTAAAAGGTTACTGGCTGTCAGGATTTTGGCAGAGGCATGAGCGCAGGGTTAAAAGAGGGAGCACAAAAAAGGAGAACAGAAAAAAAAAGGGGGAAAGAGAGGGTAAAAAAAGGAAGCAATAACAAAGAACATCAAAACTCCTCAAAAAGATGCCCGTGTTGATCGAATCCATCGTCTACCCCATACTCATCTTGCTCTTCCGGGTACCGGTCGAACTGACTCGAATCGCCTACTCCTCCACGCACTGGCGGTACGTATGGGGCTTCAATGTCTCTCTTTGCTAAGCGATCCCAGTTGACTTCTGCGAACCATTGGTGTTGCTTGATATCACTACTCCCGTGCAATAAATTCCCCAGGCGTTTTGTTAGATCAGGGGTGATCAATTGTTGGAGGAGGTCTTGAGCGTCGGGATGGATATATGCAGGGTATTTGACTCGGCCTTTGAGGATGTTTTCGTAGATCTTCATAGGGCTGCCTCCGTCCCAGAATGGGGTATAACCGCAGAGCATTTCGAAGATAAGGATACCGAGGGACCACCTAGGAAGCGCCAGCTCATTAGACAATGCCAACTGGCAAAAGCCACTCGGCTGAGAGGGAATCTGGTGGAACCCAAGCGCCTTCAAACTCACCAGTCCACAGATTTATTGTATCCTTTCGAAGCAACTACCTCCGGCGCTAGATAATCCGGAGTGCCGCAGAGCGTCCAGGTTATGTCTGGAACCTCCTTGGCAAAACCGAAATCCGTAATCTTCAGATGGCCGTGCCGGTCTAGGAGCAGATTTTCCGGTTTGAGATCTCGGTAGATTATGTGGTGAGAGTGCAGGTAATCGAGGGCAAGAGCAACCTCCGCAGCATAGAATTTAGCAACGGGGTTCGGAAATCGCTATTGGGGGGTGAGTTTGAGTGTTAATAGGCTTCTTGTTTAACTAGCCTGAGCCACAGCGCAACACTCACCTGCGACTTCCGTAGCAGACTAAAGAGTTCCCCTCCTTCGATGAAATCCATCACCATATAAAGATTCTTGCCATCCTGGAAAGTTCCCCACAACGTTATCAAGAAGGGGTGCTTAACTTTCTGTAACATGCGCCGCTCGTCGTTGGTATGCTCTACCTGTTTCATCTTTACAACCTGTGCCTTTTTGAGGACCTTGACAGCATAAAAGCGGAGGTTGTGCCGTGACTGGACAAGGTGTACACGACCAAAACTCCCAGTACCTAGGGTCCGCGAAATAGTGAAATCGCTCAAGGAATACTTTCCTTTAGTCGTCCTAACAGCAGCTTGTTGCTGCCGCTGCTGCTCTTCAGACGGCTTCTCTTGCGAAGAATTTCCAGTGGAATTATTTCCCGTCTCTTGTGATTGCGCCATGTTTGAGTGCGCAGCGCCTGTTTGGGTATTATTGCCATCATACGGCCTCGAGTAATCACTAGACTGGGGGGGATTGATGATACTGTTAATATTGCTCTGGTGAGGTTGGCTCTGGGGCTGGTGAGGAGAACTTTGGTACTGCCGTTGTTGTTGTTGATGTTCGGGTATCGTGGGCCGATGATCAGAGACCAATGCCATGGATTCGGCGGCAGGAGCAGAGGGAGCAGATGGGGTCGTTGGAGGGGCAGTTGAAGTCGAGGAAGCTGACGCAATCGAATGCTTGAATGAGTGATGGGAAGTGGCCGGTGTAGTGGCGGAGGTTGGCGTCGATGGTTCCGAATCTCGAATCTCAGATTGGGAGCTGCTCTTTCTCGCATGCGACGAATCTTTCTCTTTCTTCTTCTTCTTGAGAAACCCTAGAGCCGGCATACAAGATAACCGGTGATGTATCGAGAAGGGAGGGCACCTGTTGGGGGCCTCCTCCGATCCCTTTGTCTGTTTCCAGCGGGGTTTTGCGAACCGGCAGAAGCCTGGGGGCTCGAGAGTATAAAGAAATTTTGGGGAGGGAATTAAAGGCAGCAGGCAATGATAATAACGGTAGGAGAGCAAGGCTTCAATCCCTTTCTCTACCTCCAAGATCTCGCCCGAGATTATGTCACAGCCGGGAATGCAATAGTGACTGATAAAAGCCACGAGGAGCGAGGCAACGGTAGGAGAGAAAGATGGCTAAAGGGTGATATAGCTGCAGCAATAGTTGAGACAATGGGAGGGGGGGTATTGGAAGGAGGGGGTGGAGTCAATGTGGGTTGGGGGCTGACGATCCACCTGGGGGTTGTTAGACGGCCACTCGCTCCGGGTGGCTTAAGTAACGCTACAATGCCGCAGGCGGCCAGGAAGATCTTGGTTTCTTAGGGAGATTGATTTCGGACGGAGCGTCCCAGGCGTTCTTAAACGTGAGGGGAACCCTCTAAAGGTTTTCCTATTTTTTCTTCTTCCCTCTTCTTGGGGGGTTGACACAACCAATCGTCCGCTTCTCGCTGAGGGAGTTTCCTTTCAGATTCAAGTTGAGGCTTTTCTATTTTTCTCTCCTCACGAAGCAAAAGGAATTCGTCTTAGACTCGCTTCGGATCGCTGGGCTTCGGGTTTACAGAGTCCTCACAGACTCGATCTCGGACCAGAGCCAGAGAAAAGGCCAAAATGGAAAAAGCGGCTATCTCGGAATGATCGGCGCGGTTATTACCGAATTCGGAAAGTAACAGAAGGTACAGGTTGTTATTCCTTTTATGTGGAGGGGGGCGAGGTGGGGGAAGGAGCGGGAGGGGGACGGGGAAAGAATGAGTGGAAAAGGGTGGAGGAGGAAAAGGTGAGAAGAGAAGTGAAAGGGGGTGGAAAGAGGATAGAAGGAAGGGGGAATAAAACTATAAAAGAAGAAGAAGAGGCAGAGAGGGAGGAGGAGGTGGAGGAGGAGGAGGAGGGAAAAGAGGAGCAAGAGGGGGGGGCGAGGAAGTGGGGAGATGTGGGGAGAAACGGGAATACTAATGGGCAAGATGGGCCAGGGAATAAGGGATACTTTACTAGACTATTGTATCTCACTCAAGGTAACAACTAGTGGTATTCCAGTGAAGAATTCTTAACTCCGGTAGCAGGTATCACAGCACTATCATAATTGGGATCTGGTTGTATCTCTTTGATGGGAAAGCATAGCAATTGTGGGTCAGAAGATACAAGATAGAACTCAACGGTCACTAAGGGTAGAAGAGGATCACGGGATATGGATGTAAGAGCGAGGGGAGAAGGGAATGAAGGGACTCGATTATACAAATCAAACTGTAATCCAAGTTGGCAAAGCAGCAGAGGCGCATATAATAGGCTGCTTGGATGGGCGTTAATTTACCGGTGCTGTGGGGGGGTTATTGATTGATTTACAAACGCAGCCGCAAATTGAACAGCTTACTGTACTAGTACTCCAAGGATAACAAAATGTGGATGTTCATCACATACAGTATTGTCATGCAACAGTCGCACTCGTACATTTTGTTTGACCTTCTGTATTTATCTAACCAACTGGAGCGTTTCGTTTCACTGGCTCAACCCCATCATGTTACTCGTATATGTGATTTCTGACTAACTAGTTTTACGAGGTGTTGTTTCCTGCCAACAACTGACATCTAATTTACTCGAGTACCAGTACTCGAGTATGATACTTCGCTGTATGGTAAATTAGTCGAATACTCGGAGAGTACTCGAGCAAGGGAGTACGAGTACGGGTAGAGTGAGATTATCCATGTCATTGAGTGGTGAGCATTGTGATACTCTAGTACTATCTTCAGCCAAATCCCACCGGTTGAGTGTTGATCCCGATAAAAGCAGTAATAAGGAGGAGGGTCAAAGGCGTGGCACACGGGGTGGTCGGGCGGATCACCCACATCCCCAGAGTTTATTGATTACGCCGAAGGACATCAGAATTTGCAACAGCTCGGGAATTTCAACCCCTAACTTATATAGCATTGCACTGGTAGATATCACCAAGCTAGGCGATGCATAGAGCGCAAGCGTAGCTGTATTACCAGGACCTAAAGAGGATCTAAAGTTTATTGAGATTGAATTTTTCGATCCAACAAGCTGTCACATTGGTGGATGCTGGTACTCGGGTATATCATGAATTCTTGGTACGGAGCAGGGGTAGTGCCAGGTGATTTTAGGTGGTGCTTTGGTACACTGCAATCCAAGCAACATTTCAACTGAAAAATATGTGTTATGGTGCAGAACCTCTTAAAGTAAACCCATTACAAATATCTCCTCCTATCTCAAGTTGATGGTGTTTTTGGCTACAATATCCTTAGACAAAAAATAAAATATTAAATGGTAGAGTAATGTATTCTCTAGATATGGGTAACAAAATCACAAGGAATTGTATGAACTTCCTGTACAAAGCTTTGTATCAATCAATAGTTCCTGGAGTGTATAAAATGCAATCAGGATTTAAGAAATTACTTAACATACTACAGCCAGCCTCTAGGAGTGTTTGGTTTTATGAGTCTATGAATTTATTAGTTTCTCATTATGGTTTCGCTTGATTGATCTTCCTGGTCTAAGAAGAAATCATTATTCTTATGATGTTCTATTTGAAGTGTACTACATCTACTAAGACATTACTAGTGTTCAGTATTATGAATTCATGATATACCCGAGTACTTGTGCTAGACTAGTTCCTTTCAGACCATTTGTGGTCGGAATTGAGGCTCTGGCACAGTGCCTACTCAAGAGTAGTACTGGAGTAGTATAAGTTTACTTATCTAATATGTTTTATATCAGTCACAGGGGAGTGATCAATTGGGAACACACAGTCGAATCTTAAGGACATAGTTTAAGGACCCTTAGCGCAGGCTGCTCGAGAACTTAGGTGTTGCGGAGTTCGTCATGGCACTTCTTGGGTGGTAACTTGATTGGCAGGATGTAGGGGCAGTGTATGAGTACTGGTACAAGTACTCGTAAGTTGGCTGACAAGGACTAATAATTTGGTATACAGGTATGATAAAAGTACGGTATTGTACGAGGCTGGTACCAAAAATGATGAGCAGTAGCAACAAAAACAATACATAGAATTCAGATATGGAATATGCCCTATCCAATATCTCAAGCACAATAAGAACTAACAAGATAAAAGTAAAGGAAATATTGTAGTAATGATTGACTTTAAAGAAATTAAAATTAAAATTCAGTTTGCATGCATTGTCTTTATTTGACCTGTCAGAGCTGATTAGGCATACTATCAATATACCTATTCTATTCTTCTAGCTTTAGATTCTCCCACTCCTCCCCCACAACCTCACACATTTTCTGAATCATTCTCAGGAAGTTATTACGGGCCTTGATGTGTTGCTTCATCAAGCACCAGACATTTTCTATCAGATTAAAGTCAGTAGAGGCAGCTGGATACAGGTATAGCGGTATGCCTAACCTTGCCTTGAAACCAACCAAGACACAGCAGGTCCAAGGTACTGGTACTTTATCCTTAACGTATTGGGAAGCAGGAAATACCGAAAAGCCTAATAAACTGTGGAAAGCTGGGGAGACAATAGGTTCTAGTACCTGTTCTAGATAGTTCTTTATAATCACACCTTTTTTTCACTATCAACAAGAAAAACAAGAGGCGATTTTCAATTGTAACTGGTGGCTACTCAAACATACACAGAACTCCTCCCATTATGAAAAGTATATTTTAGACAGTGATTATGGTAGCATTCATGGAGTAAATGAGTGACCCAAGTTGAATCTCGCTTTGATATATTGAAGAAACACTCATCTGAATACATGAGTTTCCTCAAGAAGTCAACTGGCTTTTACCAGAGCTCATAGCCATAGCCCATTCATTCATGCTAATTTCGTCGATTGATAAATGGCTTTCAGTGGGCCTTACCACGTAAATAACCATAGTATGAAAGGGCGCTCTGAATTGTCTGTCCAGATACAGACAACCCAACTTCCTGACCCAGGTGTCTTCAGCACAACTTCCTTCCTTCCCAGCCACTTCGAAGCTGACCAATTAAATGCTAAATATCATACTTGTCCCAGTAGTGTAGGCGCCCAGGTTGTAATCCCATTCTTCTAGACTATAGAGTATGACTTCATTGTGAAATGGTTGAAAGTAAGACATGTATCTCATGGGTGACTTTTGACTGTGATAATCCTGTCTCTGGTAGGATAATTACTCTAGTTCTTATAGGTATTGTCCGTTCACCCATTGGAGGATGCCGGGATGAGGTATTCATTTTGTAATAGAATGGTAGGTGGTTGTAATGGCGGAAAATTTGTCAGTTGCTGCTTATTACTTTTGGCACCAGCCTCGTACAGTACGAGTAACTTTATAGTGTTAGGTTGAGTTGACCAAACAGTTTCAAGTGAAAATCTGGTAAGGTTGCTGTTGGTTGGTTGGAGCCGTCATCTATTGAGTACATCATAGGAGAGTGAATGATGGTATGCTACTAGAGGTATAGAGTTGGTTATCTGCTAGTAAGTTACCATAACTTGGATGATTCATATAATACTTGTACGAATTTGATAGTACTGTATTTTATTCAGGGATTGCAAGGCTCAAAGATGGGGCTGTAAGGTTAAGGGCCATAGTACGAGTACTAAGTAGGTTTCTATCATACTTGTACAATACAGTATACTGCTAAGTCAATCTAATCTTCTGTTAAATACTTTTCCTCTTCTCAGATAATAGCATGCAATTCCATAATATCAAAATTTCCAGTACAGGTATTCCTACTACAATATTTTTTAAAAATTAAAAAAATATATCATAATTACCAGGAAATTTATATCATATGATGGACTATAAATAAAATATAAAATGATATTTATCAATTTGTATAAATAAAAGCTGTTATCATATTTTTTCAAGTACATATAATTATAGATTATTACCAAAAATTATAAAATTACCATTAATGGAGAGAAAGAATAGTAAAGATATAGTGTTATTTAATATACTAATATTAAGAGTTATATAAAATGAAACAATATAATATTAAAAGTACCTATAACTTAAATATTGTTAGTGAACAAAATTAACAGCGGATTAACAGAGTTGAAAAACTTTTGGTTATTATAACAACACACTACCATGAAATCCATTATTATTAAAACAAAAAAGAAAAAACAAAAATACAAGTATGAGATAGAATATATAGTAAAGATTAATATTTGAGCTAGAGAAAGTTCTTTAAGTGGTGTTAAAAGTGTGAGGTGGTGAGGAGGGTTA